AGGTTAGTCGCAGGATAGGACAGGCAGGGAAGAACATCAGAGGGCAGCATACTAGTGGTGGTGTTTGGCGCGATTAGGGTGGCAGGTTAGTCGAAGATCCATTATCAAATCTCTTGAAGTTGCTTCTAGAGAGGTGGTATAACTTTGCCTTGTTTCCAAAGGTGAGTCGAAGAGGCTTGAGGAATTCCAGAACTTGGGTGAGTGTGAATTGGTGAGGCTGTTCGTGGGAAAACTTGACAGTTCCTGCACCGAGTCCTTTGTAGAGTTCAGTGCAGGTCATGGTGTCAGCGTTTGAAGTAGCAGTGTAGAATGTAAGGGTTTTCCCATGTTAGGTAAGACACATATGCAACAGTTAGGTATCTTTATTTCGAAACGTTTCGCCTACACAGTAGGCTTCTTCAGTCGAGTACAGAAAAGTTGATAGAAGCAGAAGAGACTTGAAGACGATGTAATCAGTCCATCAGACTACAGAACAATGCTCTTCTCCATACTGAGGGACTGACCACTGATTACATCGTCTTCAAGTCTCTTCTGCTTCTATCAACTTTTCTGTACTCGACTGAAGAAGCCTACTGTGTAGGCGAAACGTTTCGAAATAAAGATACCTAACTGTTGCAAGTATCTTAGCTAACAACCTGTCGGTATTTTATACCATTTTAATGTTCAAGGTTTTCCCATGTTGGTGTGCTAGATTCGTCAATATCTTCATCTTCTGACGTGTAAGGATAGAATTTTACAAGCAATCTTACAAGTTCGTGAGGTAAGCCTTACCTGCGATCTTACAAGCTCATGAGGTAAGACTTCTGATGTTACAAGTCCAAGAAGTAAGACTTACTATCTTACATATTCACTTGCCCACAGATACAGTTTGAAGTTACTGTGGACAAGAGCAACTTTCAAAGTCTAAGTTACTTTGAAAACAGCTTCATCAAGCAAATAATTTGACAGTTTTGTTTAAAGCCGAACTTATCTATATTTAGTAAGTTTATTAAGGTACAGATACACATAAGTACAATTACATAAATTATCATACATAGCAACGTATGTGTAGATTCCTTCGGAAAAAAAAGTGAAAGTTACTTACTTTCATTGTGGCTCTTGTATTATTTTGTTTTATCTGCTATCTCCACGAGTGGTGAAAGAAGCTACTCATGGCGAAACGTTTCCTCCAATAAATGTCCTGAACACTGCCGCAGGCCTATTGGCCCATACAAGGCCTAAGGTCTGACCACCTCAAAAAACTATTTCTTCAAAGTTAATGGACAGATACATCGTCTTTAGCTCGTCATCAAGCCTTCTGTCTGTTTTTGACTGAAGACACCTACTGTTTAGGCGAAACGTTTCAATCGGCAATAAAAATATCCAACTGTTGGAGATAAAATACCTACGTAATAGAAAAATAGACTTAAATGCAGGAAAATGTAATTCTTTATAGACTACGTTTCGCCCACACAGTGGGCTTTTTCAGAGGTTAAGAGTACATGAGTATATACATGGTGGACCTGCGGCCCGTCTCAAATACAACCTACCCGGCGTTCTCCACCTGACTCCACACTATATATACTTACGTACGCTTGACCCAGGTAGATCTGTTTATGACTTGATAAAGTTCACTGTGTGGGCGAAATGTAGTCAATAAAGAATTGCATTGTACTGTATTTGTGTATATTTTTCCATACCCAACTGCTGTACAATGTTTCTGCCTCACTACTTACATAGATATGAGACCCTCAATGTCGTTGGCATAGCGCCCACCGCCTCCTCGAAATGCTCAACACTCTCCTCCTTTTCTTCTTTGGCTGCGCCTTTAGGTTTCTCCGGGATTTCCATTTCGTAGGCAAAGGGAATCTCCAGGTTGATGTTGTCAGATGCGTAGACTCGCATCAAGGGAACCAGCAACTTCAGCTCGAGCTGTGGGTTGAGAGAATCTTGTTAGTGTGTGTACTCGCGTATTTATACTCGCCTATCTGTGGTTGCAGGGGTCGATTCATAGCTCCTGGCCCCGCCTCTTCACTGGTCGCTGCTAGGTCCTCTCCCTGCTCCATGAGCTTTATCATACCTCGTCTTAAAACCATGTATGGTTCCTGCCTCCACTACGTCGCTTGCCAAACTATTCCACTTCTTGACGATTTCCTAACATCCCTTTGACTCATCTGAGTCTTCATTTTCCAATTGTGACCCCTTGTTTCCGTGTCCCATCTCTGGAACATCCTGTCTCTGTCCACCTTGTCAATTCCTCGCAGCATTTTGTATGTTGTTATCATGTCTCCCCTGACCCTCCTGTCCTCCAGTATCGTCAGGCCGATTTCCCTTAACCTTTCTTCGTAGGACATTCCCCTTACCTCTGGAACTAGTCTTGTTGCAAACCTTTGCACTTTCTCTAATTTCTTGACGTGCTTGACCAGGTGTGGGTTCCAAACTGGTGCTGCATGCTCCAGTATGGGCCTGACGTACACGGTGTACAGCCTTGAACGATTCCTTAATGAGGTACCAGGACGCTATTCTTAGGTTTGCCAGGCGCCCATATGCTGCAGCAGGTATTTGATTGATGTACGCCTCAGGATATTTACTCGGTATTATACTCACACTAAGATCCTTTTCCTTGAGTGAGGTGTGCAGTCTTTGGCCACCTGGCACATACTCTGCCTGCGGTCTTCTTTGCCCTTCCCCGATCTTCATGACTTAACATTTGGCGGGGTTAAATTCGAGGAGCCAGTTGTTGGACCAGGTTTGCAGCCTGTCCGGGTCTCATTGTAGTCCTATCTGATCCTCATCCGATCTAATTCTTCTCATTAGCTTCAAATCATCTGCAAACAGGGACACTTCTGAGTCTATCTCTTCCGCCATGTCAATCACATATACCGAAAAATAGCACTGGTCCCAGGACTGACCCCTGTGGAAGCCCACTCGTCACAGGCGCTCACTCTGACACCTCGTCATGTACCATGACTCACTGCCTCCCTGTGAGGTATTCTCCGACTTATTACAGTGCCCTTCCTGTTATGCGTGCCTGATCGTCTAACTTTTGCACGAATTTCTTGTGAGGCACTGTGTCGAAGGCCTTGCAGTTCAAGAAAATTCAGTCTACTCACCCCTCTCTCTCGTTTCTTCCGTTACCTTGCCATGAAACTTCAGCAGGTTTGTGACACAGGATTTTTCTTCCCTGAATCCATGCTGGTTGCGTGTATAAGCTTGTTCCGTTCCAGGTGCTCCACCACTCTCTCTATAATCTTCTCCATGACTTTGCATACTACACACATCATTGACACTGGGGTCAATTGGAAGCTAAAGACTCAGATGAGTCAAAGGGATGTTAGGAGGTATTTCTTCAGCCACAAAGTTGTTAGGAAGTGGAGTAGTCTGGCAAGCGATGTAGTGGAGGCAGGAACCATACATAGTTTTAAGACGAGGTATGATAAATCTCATGGAGCAGGGAGAGGGAGGACCTAGTAGCGGTCAGTGAAGAGGTGGGGTCAGGAGCTGAGTATCTACCCCTGCAACCACAATTAGGTGAGTACACACCCACACTACCACCAGACCCAAACAGAGACATGACACCTAAGATCATGCTTTAATATTCTTAAACGAACGCAATAAACAAACTGGTACCTGAGAGGTTTCGTCGCCTCAGTTGGTTCCAGTATTTGCTCCGACAAATGAACTAAGTAAGAATGCTAAGATACAAATAAATCTGATTTATGAAACGATAAGTGGGTAACACTGTTGATAGTGTTATACACACCTCAATATAGCCTGGGGTTTGAAAGGCTATGCTGTACCTCCTCTTGCGAGGGCGAGGCGAGGTCATACTTATGTTAGGAGAGGTTACGGCATCAGGGATGGTCAGGTTGACGTCGGAATGATGAAGTCTTCCGAGGGAAGTCAAGGTGAGGTCGTGTAGAGAAGTCAAGAGGTCAGGCTGGTTAAGGTAGTCGAGGTCGAGGGTAGAGTGAGTGAGGGCCGACAGGAGGTCATGGTTGGTGGAGATCCACTGTGATGGACTTATACCAACACCACCACCACCAGCTGCTGTCAGCGCCACCACAATCACCACCATACCTGTTGAAAAACCACTTGAGGTCATGAGAGGTATCTTTCTCAATATAATCACCATCTAGCGTTACTTATACCGGCAACACCACCAGCTGCCACCACCAACACCACCAGCTGCCACCACCAACACCACCAGCTACCACCACCAACACCACCAGCTGCCACCACCAACACCACCAGCTGCCACCACCAACACCACTACTAACAGTATTGTTGAAGAACTAAGTACTAACAAGAGCCTCTTACTCTCCATTACTTCAACTTCTAAATCGCTGCGCAAACTACAATATCCACTGATAATAAATATAGCCGTGCTAGACACGGGGGGTAATATTTATTACCACTATAGTGGACCACGGCAGCAGCGACCACTAACTCACCATGGTGAATAAACTTAAAGTATAATGATAAATAATAATGAGCACTCATATAATGTCTATGTCTAACTGTTAAGTTCATAAAAGTCAGACAAATAAGAGCACACAAACGTGCACACAGATTAACAAGCAAGTCAGGAAACTAGAGAAAGTGCAGAGGTTTACAACGAAACTAGTCCCGAAGCTAAGAGGCTGGGGGCTGTAAGGAGAGACTGAAGGAGCTAACCTTGATGACGAAGAGAACAGAAGGACTATAGGGGATATAACAACAAAGTGTAAAATAGGAAGAGGAACTGATAAGATGGATAGGGACAGATTGTTTGAGAGACGGAAAACAGGAACACGAAGGCACAACTGGAAGCTGAAAACACAGATGAGTCAAACGAAGTAAGTATTTAATTACTGCTAAAATTATATGTACTTAGGTAAAAGTTATGTGCATATACATTAAAGTTATGTGTACTTTCCCAAAAGTGATTTGTACTTACGCAAAAGAGGACTCATGAGGAGCGAGACACTGACAATGTTGTAGGGAGGACTTAGAAACACAACACTGACTGTGTGAGTGTCGGAGAGTGAGTGAGGTGATGCTGGACTGAAGACCTCCAAGACTCCTACGACTGGCAGCGCAGGGCAGGACCTTCCAGTTATCTTACACACCTTGTGTGTTCTCTGCTCCCTGACAATAACACGCACTCTTCCAGCTCACTGACAATAACACGCACTCTTCCAGCTCCCTGACAATAACACGCACTCTTGCAGCTCCCTGACAATAACACGCACTCTTCCAGCTCACTGACAATAACACGCACTCTTCCAGCTCACTGACAATAACACGCACTCTTGCAGCTCCCTGACAATAACACGCACTCTTCCAGCTCACTGACAATAACACGCACTCTTCCAGCTCCCTGACAATAACACGCACTCTTGCAGCTCCCTGACAATAACACGCACTCTTCCAGCTCACTGACAATAACACGCACTCTTCCAGCTCACTGACAATAACACGCACTCTTGCAGCTCACTGACAATAACACGCACTCTTGCAGCTCACTGACAATAACACGCACTCTTCCAGCTCACCTGACAATAACACGCACTCTTGCAGCTCACTGACAATAACACGCACTCTTGCAGCTCCCTGACAATAACACGCACTCTTCCAGCTCACTGACAGTAACACGCTCTCTTCCAACTCCCTAACAATAACACGCACTCTTTCAGTTCCCTGACAGTAACACGAACTCTTCCAGCTCCCTGACAATAACACGCACTCTTCCAACTCCCTAACAATAACACGCACTCTTCCAACTCCCTAACAATAACACGCACTCTTCCAACTCCCTAACAATAACACGCACTCTTCCAGCTCCCTAACAATAACATGCACTCTTCTATCTCCCTAACAATAACACGCACTCTTCCAACTCCCTAACAATAACACGCACTCTTCCAGTTCCCTAACAATAACACGCACTCTTCCAGCTCACTGACAGTAACACGCACTCTTCCAACTCCTGACAATAACACGCACTCTTCCAACTCCCTAACAATAACACGCACTCTTCCAACTCCCTAACAATAACACGCACTCTTCCAGCTCACTGACAGTAACACGCACTCTTCCAACTCCCTGACAATAAACACGCACTCTTCCAACTCCCTAACAATAACACGCACTCTTCCAACTCCCTAACAATAACACGCACTCTTCCAGCTCACTGACAGTAACACGCACTCTTCCAACTCCCTGACAATAACACGCACTCTTCCAACTCCCTAACACTAACACGCACTCTTCCAACTCCCTAACAATAACACGCACTCTTCCAACTTCCTAACAATAACACGCACTCTTCCAACTTCCTAACAATAACACGCACTCTTCCAACTTCCAAACAATAACACGCACTCTTCCAACTCCCTAACAATAACACGCACTCTTCCAACTCCCTAACAATAACACGCACTCTTCCAACTCCCTAACAATAACGCGCACTCTTCCAACTTCCTAACAATAACACGCACTCTTCCAACTCCCTAACAATAACATGCACTCTTCCAACTTCCTAACAATAACACGCACTCTTCCAACTCCCTAACAATAACACGCACTCTTCCAGCTCCTAACAATAACACGCACTCTTCCAACTTCCTAACAATAACACGCACTCTTCCAACTTCCTAACAGTAACACGCACTCTTCCAACTCCCTAACAATAACACGCACTCTTCCAACTCCCTAACAATAACACGCACTCTTCCAACTCCCTAACAATAACACGCACTCTTTCCAGCTTCCTAACAATAACACGCACTCTTCCAACTTCCTAACAATAACACGCACTCTTCCAACTCCCTAACAATAACACGCACTCTTCCAACTCCCTAACAATAACACGCACTCTTCCAGCTTCCTAACAATAACACGCACTCTCCAACTTCCTAACAAAAAACACGCACTCTTCCAACTTCCTAACAAAAACACGCACTCTTCCAATTCCCTAACAATAACACGCACTCTTCCAACTCCCTAACAATAACACGCACTCTTCCAGCTTCCTAACAATAACACGCACTCTTCAACTCCCTAACAATAACACGCACTCTTCCAACTCCCTAACAATAACACGTACTCTTCCAACTCCCTAACAACACGCACTCTTCCAGCTTCCTAACAATAACACGCACTCTTCCAACTTCCTAACAAAAACACGCACTCTTCCAACTTCTAACAAAAACCACGCACTCTTCCAACTCCCTAACAATAACACGCACTCTTCCAACTCCCTAACAATAAACACGCACTCTTCCAGCTTCCTAACAATAACACGCACTCTTCCAGCTTCCTAACAATAACACGCACTCTTCCAACTCCCTAACAATAACACGCACTCTTCCAACTCCCTAATAATAACACGCACTCTTCCAACTCCCTAACAATAACACGCCACTCTTCCAATTCCCTAACAAAAACACGCACTCTTCCAATCCCTAACAATAACACGCACTCTTCCAACTCCCTAACAATAACACGCAACTCTTCCAACTTCCTAACAATAACACGCACTCTTCCAACTTCCTAACAATAACACGCACTCTTCCAACTTCCTAACAATAACACGCACTCTTCCAACTCCCTAACAATAACACGCACTCTTCAACTTCCTAACAATAACACGCACTCTTCCAACTCTCAAACAATAACACGCACTCTTCAGCTCCCTAACAGTAACACGCACTCTTCCAAACTCCTAACAATAACACGCACTCTTCCAGCTTCCTAACAATAACACGCACTCTCCAATCCTAACAAAAACACGCACTCTTCCAACTCCTAAAACACGCACTCTTCAATTCCCTAACAATAACACGCACTTTCAACTCCTACAATAACACGCACTCTTCCAGCTTCCTAACAATAACACGCACTCTTCCAACTCCCTAACAATAACACGCACTCTTCAACTCCCTAACAATAACACGTACTCTTCCAACTCCCTAACAACACGCACTCTTCCAGCTTCCTAACAATAACACGCACTCTTCCAACTTCCTAACAAAACACGCACTCTTCCAACTTCTTAACAAAAACACGCACTCTTCCAACTCCCTAACAATAACACGCACTCTTCCATCTCCCTAACAATAACACGCACTCTTCCAGCTTCCTAACAATAACACGCACTCTTCCAGCTTCCTAACAATAACACGCACTCTTCCAACTCCCTAACAATAACACGCACTCTTCCAACTCCCTAATAATAACACGCACTCTTCCAACTCCCTTACAATAACACGCACTCTTCCAATTCCCTAACAAAACACGCACTCTTCCAACTCCCTAACAATAACACGCACTCTTCCAACTCCCTAACAATAACACGCACTCTTCCAACTCCCTAACAATAACGCGCACTCTTCCAACTTCCTAACAATAACACGCACTCTTCCAACTCCCTAACAATAACATGCACTCTTCCAACTCCTAACAATAACACGCACTCTTCCAACTCCCTAACAATAACACGCACTCTTCCAGCTTCCTAACAATAACACGCACTCTTCCAACTTCCTAACAATAACACGCACTCTTCCAACTTCCTAACAGTAACACGCACTCTTCCAACTCCCTAACAATAACACGCACTCTTCCAACTCCCTAACAATAACACGCACTCTTCCAACTCCCTAACAATAACACGCACCTCTTCCAGCTTCCTAACAATAACACGCACTCTTCCAACTTCCTAACAATAACACGCACTCTTCCAACTCCTAACAATAACACGCACTCTTCCAACTCCCTAACAATAACACGCACTCTTCCAGCTTCCTAACAATAACACGCACTCTCCAACTTCCTAACAAAAACACGCACTCTTCCAACTTCCTAACAAAAACACGCACTCTTCCAATTCCCTAACAATAACACGCACTCTTCCAACTCCCTAACAATAACACGCACTCTTCCAGCTTCCTAACAATAACACGCACTCTTCCAACTCCCTAACAATAACACGCACTCTTCCAACTCCCTAACAATAACACGTACTCTTCCAACTCCCTAACAACACGCACTCTTCCAGCTTCTAACAATAACACGCACTCTTCCAACTTCCTAACAAAACACGCACTCTTCCAACTTCTTAACAAAAACACGCACTCTTCCAACTCCCTAACAATAACACGCACTCTTCCAACTCCCTAACAATAACACGCACTCTTCCAGCTTCCTAACAATAACACGCACTCTTCAGCTTCCTAACATAACACGCCTCTTCAACCCCTAACAATAACACGCACTCTTCCAACTCCCTAATAATAACACGCACTCTTCCAACTCCCTAACAATAACACGCACTCTTCCAATTCCCTAACAAAAACACGCACTCTTCCAACTCCCTAACAATAACACGCACTCTTCCAACTCCCTAACAATAACACGCACTCTTCCAACTTCCTAACAATAACACGCACTCTTCCAACTTCCTAACAATAACACGCACTCTTCCAACTTCCTAACAATAACACGCACTCTTCCAACTCCCTAACAATAACACGCACTCTTCCAACTTCCTAACAATAACACGCACTCTTCCAACTCTCAAACAATAACACGCACTCTTCCAGCTCCCTAACAGTAACACGCACTCTTCCAACTCCCTAACAATAACACGCACTCTTCCAGCTTCCTAACAATAACACGCACTCTCCAACTTCCTAACAAAAACACGCACTCTTCCAACTTCCTAACAAAACACGCACTCTTCCAATTCCCTAACAATAACACGCACTCTTCCAACTCCCTAACAATAACACGCACTCTTCCAGCTTCCTAACAATAACACGCACTCTTCCAACTCCCTAACAATAACACGCACTCTTCCAACTCCCTAACAATAAACACGTACTCTTCCAACTCCCTAACAACACGCACTCTTCCAGCTTCCTAACAATAACACGCACTCTTCCAACTTCCTAACAAAAACACGCACTCTTCCAACTTCTTAACAAAAACACGCACTCTTCCAACTCCCTAACAATAACACGCACTCTTCCAACTC